TATAGAACATAGCTCTAGAGTTTAATGAGGAAATGTTACAGAAAAGCTGATAAACTTCAGCTGTAGTGAAGTTTATCAAATCCTGAGCTGCAAATTTCTTGTGTTTAATTATCATTTAGAAACACACAGAACCACATACACTGTGTGTGTGTGTGTGTGTGTGTGTGTGTGTTAGCAGCCATGTGGCTTTCATCAGAATTCAATTATCACACTGTACCACGCTTCACAGGACGCACAGAAACAGGGAGTGTCCTAATGGTTTCAGGATGGTTCCTCTCACCGCCGTCAGTGTTTGTGTTACAGTTTGTGATGATGAAACGCTCCGAGGTTAAAGGTGCACTCGGTTGTTTTCTTTTTAAAATTCCTCCACACAGAGTCTATTATTACTCTCCGTCCTTGAAACTGAACTGGAGATGATGAAAGTTCCTCTCGGCTCGTTGGTGTTTGTGTTTCCATGGAGAACCGGGAGGATCGGGAACCTCGGACCGGGATCTGACTCGTGTTTGTGTGACTGATGTTTGTTCCTGTTGAACTGAGAAACTGCAATTAAATGAAAGATTCACTTTATTTCTCCGTATCTCACTTTTTATACAAGGTTGGTTATTTCCAGTGATTAGTGAAGTTTAGTGAAACGTTCTGTCCGTATAGATCAGATTAAAGCAACATCTCTTTTTGACTTTGTTTAGTGACCGTGGTATAACGGATAATGTCTGACGACGTGTTCGTTATAAGGATTTATTGGACGACGTGGAAAAACAATAAGATCATTATTTCATATTTTCATGCGTTACTTTAATCAAAACCTAAAGATTTTTTACAAGCCGTAACTACTTGATAACACCTGAGGGTCTGACTAATACCTGGTCATTACCATCCCATAATGTTCTAATGCAATGGAAACCTTGTTCACTGTTTCAGGAAATAGGACGAACCTTAGATACAACTTGACAACGGGAGAAATTTCTAGTTCCCTCTACTCAGAGAGCTAACATTATGTTAGTAAGATTTAAAGTCAATAAGACTGCGTACAGTCGACAAACAGTGAATATAATCTGACTTTAACAACAGGACCAGCAGCCAGCAGCTCTGTCAATGTGCAGATTTGGACCAATGATAGGACATGTGTACATGAGTTGAACAGCCAATGGGATGTGAGTATCAGTGTCGGGCTGTGGTGTTCAGAGGAACGACACTCAGTGCTGTCAGATACATTTATCACATTTTATTTTCATTCAGTTTATTTCATTAATTTAGAACAGTGAACAGTGTAACTACTGTCCCACATTGGGAAGTAATGGACACCCAGCAGCCAATCAGAGTCCAGTATTCACTCAGACTGTGGTATAAAGCAGTGACACTGCTGACAGCAGCACCTGGTGGCCGCTGGAGGAACTGCAGCTCCACACAGTTCAGCTGAGGAGCTCTCTGATTGGTTCTCGCTCTCATCAATATGTTTGTGCTGTTTGTTTTTATTTCCTCGTTGTGTTTGTCATGTAGCCGCGTCTGCACGACACAAAACATTTGAATAATAATCAACCCAGTGCATTCTGGGTGGTTGATAGGGGGCTAAACCCTACACACACACACACACACACACACACACAGGAAACACAGAGGGCATGAAATTACAGTTGCGTCGGTCGGAACGGAGCGCAGGAGGAAACTTAAGTGATAAGGAGGCTTCACGCAAACCTTCATCAGACTGTGTGTGTGTGTGTTTGTTCACATGTGCGCAAGCTTCCATGCCTTCAGAATTGTGATGAAGGCTGCTTGAAGTATGAAGGTTTTGGCAGTCAAAGGTCAAACAAGGATACTGTCCCTGCACCAATACACACCATCTCATGTTTTTTTTTTACATGATGATGTTGTCTTACTTATGGTTAAGAGACAGGATTAAGCAAGACAGAGCAGGATTAGGAACAGATGTTGTAGATGTTAGTCCACATTCACCAACCTCTTCAACCTGAGTCTGCACC